CAGAAAAGGTAGCAAACTTTTTGTTGAGTGAGGCGAGAACTCTACGGACCAAAGATAACACCTCCATAATTTTTTTGGATTTTGAGACCACCAATAGAACTTCGTATAGACCAGAACCTTAGTGTATCTACTTATTTTATGTTAAGTTATACATATATTTTGTATACATCTGTACATATACACTTGATGAATGCACTTTGTTACATTGCCTCCAGTCGTTTTTTTCCTTTATTGGTAATAAAAGATATACTCCCTCCGTCCCCCTAACTTTGTCCCATTTTACCTTTTCCGTCCGTCCCATTAAGTTTGTCCCATATCATATTAGGCAATATTTGGGTGGTTACAATTCATTCTTACTTTATTCACACTTTATCAATTCAACACCAACCACACAATTCCATTTTTTCTTAAAATTTGTGCCACACTCCTTTGTCCCAAACATAGTGGGACGGAGGTAGTAGCAGATTACTAACTCGTAATTATGGATGGTTGTATTCTGCATATGACTAAATACGCATCACCAAATTTGATTTGCAAACTACGAATGGGTAAAATACACCATACAGCCGGCTGTACCGTGCGCACGGTACAGCCGGCCCTTTTTGTTCTGCTGCGCACCACCCACCGCCCTGCTATCTTCCTTTTCGTCTTTTCTTTTTGTGAGCAACGATTTCCCTCTGCTGACTACGGTCTCATCTCTGCTTTTGGAGGCCAATAGCTCATGAATTCTGCTAAGCTCAACTCGGTGATTTTCTTCTCCGCAACTCCACCATCCCACCTCGATCGATCATCATATATCAACTGGTGTCTTAGGTTTTCTCATTTAAAATCAATTTCATCACAATCTTAATAACATACTAATATACACCATAACTCAATTTAATTACTTTACAGCGACAGACGACCTCCAAGCTCTAGCCACAACCTTAGGAGATGGTTATTTCCAGGAGTTCGCGATTTGATTGTAATTATGTAGCTACTTTTGCTAATATGAGCATACACAATGAAAAGTTGAGCATATTAGATATTTAAAATAACATTTTGTTATTTTGTCGATGCTCATCTTGTAATATATGTGTGCTCGTGTGAAATTTGTATAATACTCATTTTGGCATAGTAGATATTTTAAATGAGTTTTTTTTTTTAATTTTTGTGCTCATTTCGTAAATTATTTATGCTCATTTGATAGTGTTATAACACTCATTTTAAAATGTTCATATTCATACATATTTCAAAAGTATAATATTACATTAACTACATATGTTGGATACATATGGCTTTATTGTAGATATTTTAAAAAATAAGAAAATCAAAATGAATTACAAAATATGAAGTCGATATTACGATGCTCATTATTATACTCTCAATACTCAAAAAGAAAAAATTAGGTGCTCACTAAAAGTATACTAATGCTCATTTTGTACCGGTGTTCTGCTGATTATATTTTAACATAACACTTGATTATAGACACATGAGCACAGATCGTGATGCTCAACCGCATGATTTTAATACTCAATAGAAGAAGTTTGATACTTAGTTAAAATGTATCCATGGTTAGATGTGTATAAAACCGAAAATGAATGAGCACACACAAACGAGATTTTGAATTTTTGGATATTCACTTTGTAAGTTACATATGCTCATTTGATTTTGTTTTATGCTCATTGAAAAATGTTTCACATTTCATATGAAGAAGAAATCACTGATGCTCATTGTTAGACCCTGAATACTCAAAAGAACAAACTCAAAAGGCGAGAACAAACATTTCATATTTGTGTGTGATTCTCTTCGAACTAGCCCGATGTGTCGTTTATTAATCATGTCATTGTTCAGCAAGTAATTTTATAAAATGTTTCCTTTGCAAACATGATAATTGTTAATGCATTAGCTATGTTGTTCATCAAAACTATGTTCTAACTTTGAATGTTTCATAATAATAATAGTGTTTTTCGAAATACTTGTGCCCATGGAAGTGAAAAAGTGAACAAGATCATTTGGAAACAGATGCAGGTATAAGTATATATAACATTTCACTAAATATTTTACTATAGTTTCTAAGTCATTTAATTTAGTAGTGAGCAATATGAATATAAAGTATATTTTGTGTATAATTTTTCAGTGCGCAAAACAAACAGGCGGCTTAGAGTGTGGATATTATATGATGAGATTCATGTATGATCTGAGTAGAAGTATCAAAGAAGGTCAAGATCTGGAGCAGGTATGTGTTCATGTGTGTGTGTATATATTCATGAGAAATGTTTTTAGTTATAATGTGAAAGGGTTATTGTTATGAAATGATATTCCAAATCGTAGTTGTACTAATTAGAATTGCTTTATATTTTAGGTGTACACGAGCACCTTACGAGATGAGGCGTTTTCAATGGCAGAAATTGATGAAATTCGTGATAGATGGGCGATGTATGTTTGCGACAATTTGTTGTAAACTCTATATTAGATTGAAAATGTATTAACTATATAACTTTTGGCGATATATGTTTGCGACAATTTGTTGTAAACTATATATTAGATTGAAAATGTATTAACTATATAACTTTTAGGTAACTTTTTTTGTCTTGTGATATTTGGATTGATATTTGATATTTGGATTGGTATTTGGATTGATTGCAAATGTCCATTAAAAGCAAATAATGTGTAAATAAGGTGCACATTTTTCTTTTATGAATACTTATTGTTGTGGTTGTAGAGGACCGCCGCAAAAAAATTAAATTCGGTTATCTATTTGTTGCGGTTGCCGAGGAACCGCAGCAAAAAGTGTTTTTTAAGAAAACCGGCCCCTTATTTGTTGCGGGTACGACCGCCGCAAATAGCAATTTTCGGAATTTGCTGCTCCCGCTATTGCTGCGGGCAAAAACCGCAGCAAATGAGTCAAAACGACCGTAGCAAATGTCATTTTTTCTAGTAGTGTAAGTAGATAATAAATAGTAGTAATATAATATATGTATTTATAAGTAGATAATTAATATATAAGTAGATATAATAATTATATAAATAATATATATGTAGAAAGAATTGGAGAAGATGAAGATGATTGAATATGAGAGAATAGAGAATTAGAGAGTAGGAAGAGTTGTAGGAGAAGAGGTGTAAAATATGTATAGAAAATAGGAATATAAATAGGTTTTTTTTTTGTATCCCCCCCCAAACCCCCCGGACCCCCCCCCCCTCCTATGCCTCCAACGGCTATAGAGCCGTTTGGGAACAGTCCCAATGGCTAGTAGGGTTTAAAAATTAAAAATAAAAATAAAAATGGCCGTTATGGCCCGAGCCCGGACCGCTATATGACCGGGTCGGTTGGCCCGAACCGGCACCCAGATCGTTTCCCGGGCCGGGCCGGGTACAAACAGTACCGGTCTGGGCCGGTTCCGGACCAGTTCCGGGCCGGTTGGCCTGATCCGAGTCCACCCATACCTACAACAATTTCTTTTGTACATTTCCAAATCCATCAATGTCGTATATACATCCCTTTTTGTTTGTGCACGGATAAGGCCGGCCCTGAGAAAATATGGGCTCTGTGCAAAAATAAAATGTGGACCTTTTTCTAAAATAGGTAGAAATATAATATAAGTGAAGATTATATTTGTAAAAATTTTGCTAGAATAATAATAATAATTCATATATATCAAAATACAAGTTATTCACTAACATAATAGTTAAAATAAAACTATTCCCTAACAAATTAAAATACACTTCATTTATTTGTTAAATTGAATTATAAATTAATAGTTAAAATAAAACTATTCCCTAACATAAATATAATTGATAGACGTAATGAACATTTGATACATATTTAATAGTTTGTTAATTTAATAATGACATGCAATAAAAATAATAGTAGTTATTATTATATAACAAATTAATATCAATAATTGTAGTGGATGACACAATATGGCATGGACTTAGAATCTAATGAGTTTTTAATTATACTTCATATGATATAAAAGTGCGAATTGAGAGGATGTTTGCATCAACCAAATGGTTGAGCCGGTTCAGCACTTCAGCGTCCTCATTGGTAAGAAACACACCAGGATTCGAATCCCCTAGTGTTAAAATTTTTAATTGAAGCATAGGATCTAAATGTTGGGCTCTATTAGTAATACCATTTATACGATGAATTGTTTGTCATAGATAACTTTTTTATCTGTGTCATCGGCAATTCAGTTTGCAAAAATGAAAAAAATTGTTTGTGTATAAAGACAAAAAATTGTACGTTGTGCAACATACTACGTACTACGTATTTCCTAACCATCATTAAACAAGTAGAAAGTTCTGTCTAACTTGGGACATTTTTTCTGAAGAGATGGAAAATTCCGTCAATCAAATCAATGGAGCATCATATAATGTTTGTAACATAGGACTGTTTAGTTTTCAACCCTGCTATAGGTACCCCCAATTTGTACCTCAATCAATTTTTGTGGCTCACAAAAGCCCATCTCAATAAATGAATTGCCTCATTTTAATGAGGTGTTTTTGTGAGCCACAAAAATAGGGTGGGGTACAAATTGGGATACCAATTGGGGTACCTTTAGCATTTTTCTTTAGTTTTTGTCACTGGTAAAATATACTCCAATTTAATTTTTTCAATCAATGAACTAAACTGAGTCTGTGATTGAAAATGTGTTTATATAGAGAAGTACATAAAATATGAAAATGATATAAATATGTTATTTGTTAAATTTTTTTTATCATAAAACTATAAGATTTATAAGATTTACAAAAATATAGTCCTTTCATTCTTTTGTTAGTTTTTTAATTGTAATACTTTCATTTTCACATTTCCCAAAACTCTAAAAATGGTTAACTAAAAAAGACGGAGGTAGTAGTTCTTTTGGGGTTGCTTTTACTGTCCAAGATTTTGTTTTGTATGTTTATTACCTTATTGGTCAACCATTGTACTCTAGCTGTCTAGCATATCCTTGGCGTTTTGCTATGGGTTATCAAAGATTAACACAAGTTTCTACCAAAAAAAAAAGATTAACACAAGTTGTTTCTTTGCCAAAATAGCGGCATAGGCATTTTAGACGGAGTGCATTAAAACGATGGCAATACAAGTCTAAAAATCTTACAACAGAATGAACTCCGACAATTTTTAGAGTTGTTCTACATAAACTCCAAGATTTGCACTACGACAATTTTTTAAAGCCTGCTCAATCTCGTTTAAATTTGGAAAAAATGACAAAAGATGGGAAGTTCTAAGATTAGAATGATTGGGGATATGTGGACTTCACTCGTCCCCGCTAACAGCAAGGCTTTTGAGTTTCGAACCAAGTTCATCATCACTATCACCATTACTCTCCTCTCTAGATCCCTTGTCATCTTCATCATCATCATCTCCACCCTCCGGATCATTATCCTCAAATGTGTCAAGCTTTTCAGGAAACTTCTTGAATATATTTTTCACCACATCAACACCTTCATCCGATATGAAATTCCCGTTGATATTCAACAGCTCGAACTCCTGCTTACCCACAACGGCCTGAGCCAACGCATGGGCTCCAGCCCTTCCCATCAAGTTACAGCTCATATCGACAGTCCTCAAACGTTCATGACCGATCTCAAGAGCCTTTGCGATCCGGATTGCCCCTTCATCCTTGAGTTCATTCTCAGCCAAGTTGAGCTTCTCCAGAAACTCCTTACCTTCTAGACACTTAGCCAACACAACTGCAGAATCAGCAGTTATATCATTTCCCGCTATTTCCAATACTCTAAGTGATGTCGCGGACTCCTTTAGTGCATTGGCTATCAAAGCAGCTCCCCTGTCCTCCAAATTGAGGTAACATAGGTAAACCTCAGATAGGTTTTCATGTTTGGAGAGTGCTTCACTCAATGCTTCAGCGGCGTGGGGCCCGAACATGTTGTCTCGCAAATCAAGCTTCTTGAGATGAGTACATGTTTCAAGTGCTTTAGACAAAGCACTACCACCTTCAGATGCCACCCTAGTTGAAGAGCACCGGAAATCCTCCAATGACGGAGAACGGCTCACCATCTCAGAAATAGCCATGGCTCCTTCATCACCCGTCATGTTATTGTGAAAATGAAGAACCCTAAGGTTATTTGTGGAAGGAACTAATTCACAAACTGCACGTGCGGCTTCCTTTGAAATACCATCATTCATCAAAAACAGTTCTTCCAGTGAGGTTTGGGATTTCAGGAGCTTGGAAAAAGCCCTGACACCCTTCTCCCCTAATGCATTGTCTGACAGATTGAGAGACTTTAAAACACAACCTTCTAAAGATTCTGAGAATATCTTCATGACTTCAAGAGCTTCTGCTTCTGGTCTACCTGCTACGAAATCTGACAGGTCAACTTTCTTGAGTTGGGCCTTGAGGGATTCCAAGATGGGTCCTGTGACGTGGGCCGCTCCTAATCCGAAGCTTCTGTTGCTGAGACATATCTTCGTGTAAGTGTTTCCTGGCTCTTTCAATGGCTTCAAAAGTTCCTCTGCTTCTTCGGCCTCTATAAACTCCCTTTTACCCTTTGAGATATCAAAAACAGTTTCACAGGAAGTAGGAGCAGTGTTAGACTGCAGGGTCTCTTTCTCATCACTCTTAGATTCCGTTTGAAAGTCAGAAAATACTGGGGAAAATGAATTAAAACACAGAAAAAAGTTAGAGCGAGAAAAATGCGGGGAAAAATAAAAGACATGCTTAAACTGACACTATGTTTGGTAGCCATAAATGGCTTGTTAAGAGAATAAGTTTCTTTGACTTGTTTGGCTGAAATGGATCTTACAAAATATCCGCATATTCAACAATTTCAACCAAATAAAATTTTACAAATGGGAACACAATGAATTCATCTTATATTTGTTGGTACTCCTTTTAATTGTTTAATGTCTATTATATAGGGTAAAAAATCAAATACAGCAACAACATCCAAGTCTTATTCCTAAAAGATTTAGGGTAAAAATCAAATGATATACTACGTATAAAAATCATATTTCATTATTCTTAACATTTTTCATCGAATACCAAACATAAAAAATAACTTGATGTGATCCAAAGCATACCTTTAGGGACGTTCTTCAGAGCTTCTATGATGAGCTTACTACACTCCTTAGCATAAAGCTGGACTGCCGAGCTCCCATCACCATCAGGCTCCTTGTCATAGTGACGGTCAGCCACAGAAAATGCAATGCCTTCAATCTGTTGGGCCTTTTCATGAGCGTCATCCTTGTTCAAACTACCATACTTGCGGGTAAAAATGGTCGGTGTAGACAGGTTGTTGGTCATCCGATCCACCAAGATTTTCCTAGTGGTTTCACTTGGGGGCCACAGTTTGATTGAAAATGGGCGGAGTTCAGGGGTAGGTTCTGTGGAATTCATTGCAACACCTAAGATGAAAGAGATTGTCAATAACAGCTTTTAGAGTAATCCTTCCAAATTATATAGTACTTTTTTTGAAAAGTTGAAACTTGACAGTAATACTTTCCAAATAACATTTTTTAAAATATTTAACAATTAAAACATTACACTTTTATCCATCTCACCCATGTTTTGGTACACATGCTGACATGCATATACATCATTACAGTATTAGCAAAATCTGTCAACTTACAATATTTCAGTTTGCTTTGTCAATTTTCCTCCTTAGGGAAGAATATAGGTTGGGGACCTTTCCTTAAGAGTATGAAGGACTAAAGATTCTTTTTGTTAAAGCAGCCATCAATTTTCTCATTATTTGATTTATTTTTGAGACCATTGTTGTTTTCATCAAGTGTACAGCAGTGGGATGTGGACTGATAAGACTAAGGATGTTTTTTGCAGATCACTTGGTAAGACTAAGGATGTTTTTTGCAGATCACTTGATAAGACTGAGGATGTTATGAAATAAATATAGACCACACGATAAACAAACATAAACAAAACATAAACAAACCAGATCATCCAGGAAATTTCAGTCCAATTAAAAACATACTAACTTTAGCAATAATGAATTCATGGCAGCTACTTTGAAAATTTGAGGCTCGTAAAAGAAAATGAAAGCTTTTCAGATTCATCACTATTCACATATTACGGGGTAAACACAGCTTGTGCTATCACTAAAAATTTACTAAAAGTGTTCATTTTTTCATAACATCATCTCTGCGTAAAATTCTATTTGGCCTAAGACACTAAAAATACAGTTTTCTTCTTACCGCAGTACTCCCTACACCCCAAATTAAAACTCCCCTTTCCATATTTAGGTATCCCAGATTCCCAGAATTTGACTCCCTCGCATTTTCAAGACTGAAAGAAGTTTGTTTGACCTTTCCTGTTTTTCTATATAAATCGAAATCACGAAACTTCCCTTTCTTAATATATTCATTCAGGGTTGCCCATTTTTCCTGGAGGCTTACTGTGGGACTGAGGGAGTATATAATATATATACAAAAATATAACCATTAAAATGTATTACAAGCAAATGAAATAAAAATCGGAAAGAAATTACTCAAGCAAATACTTATAGAAACGATAGGGTTAATAGAGGATCTGTAGACTAGTGTTTCAGATTCAGAATTTCAAACATCTAAAATTTCATTGATGATAAAATAATCAACTAGACTTGCTAGTTTATTTCAAATATGGATAATTTGAACCAGCTATGGTCTTTGTTGCTGGAGAATAGCTTATAAGGTGGGAAGATGGAGCGTATGAAAGAAGAATACCTGGATGGATGAGGAAGGTTGAATTGTCGAATTGGAGGGGGCAGAAACCGAAGGGGGGACGTTTCTAACTTTCTATGAGTAGTAACTGTAGAAAACATTTGGGCCATACCACCCATACGTTAACCGGCCCAATACAATGAACTATGGTACTTCCTCCATATAGTCTAGTTTTAAATTCTCACTGACCTAGTTTTACAATGGCAACCCGCAACCCTGAATGAATAATTAATATTTTACATCAAGATTTTGATTTCATTTCAGTTAGTTTTTTATGGTAATCTTCAATTCATTTCAGTTAGTTTTTATGTCATTGACATAATAGTCGGTGACAAAATGGAAATAACTCTAATTAATACTATTCTCTGTTTCTTTTTTATCGCAACATGTTGAATTTTACACTATTCACATGCTATACTTTGACTACATTTTACGTTATTATTTTATGATTTTTTTTTTTTAAAAGATATTGTCCAATTCAGCTCATTACAAATTTTCAAAATCTGATTTTTAAAAGTTTTTTACTAATAGAGATTAAGATATAATTATGGTCAAAGATGTGTGTTGGCAAATGTGAAATGTTGACCGTTGCAACTAAAAAAGAATGGAGGAAGTAATATAGTTAGCCAATTGATATACTATTATTAGATTTTTTGATCGTCAACTAGCCTTCTTTCATATTATAAATTTCAGGATCATTACATTAATCAAAAGAAAAACAAAACCGACACCAACTAAATTCCAACAACTACGACTGTAAACCCTATGATCAGACTTAGTGACGGTCACCCCTGAAAGAGCAACGCGAATCGCTAACCATGTAGCGGGCTTGACACAACCATCCTTGTTCACATAGATCCAAACATACTCAATGACATAAAAAAGACTGAAATTATATTATCATCACAGTTTTATTATCATACGTTAAAATTGATTTTTTCATAACAATATTATTGTCATCGATTCTAAATTATATCATAGACTCACTCTCTGTTCTAAAAATCGTTCTAGGTGTCCGACTAGTCCCCGCCTAGGCGCTAGGCGGTGGTCGGGCGCCCCGATTTTCGTCTAGGCGCTCCGACTAATTGGTTTGCCGTCTAGGTGAATTAGTCGGCCGCCTAGAGCGCCTAATCGGCCACCTAGGCCGTCTAGATTCGTCAAACGTTACTTTACTTTTTTATTTTCTAAGCGTTATACGTACTTTAGCTTAGCCATGGATATAACGAAATAAAGTTGTAAATTAAGATAAAACTATATATGTTTCCATATATACCTAAATTTCATCATTATTTATATTTATAACATAATGAAGTTAAGTGATTAGTCATATACTCCGTATTACGTATGATTAACTGTGATAATTCTATTATTGATGTTCGTTAATGTATATTCATATATGTATTTACAAACAAAACTACAATATTACTTATTATATTTATGCAAAAATATAGATAAAAATGCAATTTATTTGTCTCTGACTAGTCCCCGACTAGGCGTCCGCCTAGCCGCCTAGGCGCTAGGCGCTGGGCTGACGCCTTTTAGAACATTGGACTCACTCAGTGTCTCAAAAAATCAGGTTCACTCACTCACCTAAATTACTTATCAAAGTGCATTGAAATTACTCTCTATTGTCTAAAGGGAAAAAGGACGTATATACCCCTGCACTATAGGGCTGGGAACATATATACCCTTGTTAAAAATTTTGGAACAAAAAGCTGATAAAACTAAAAATAGGGTACACATCTACCCCTGCTCACGTTTTAAGGCATTCCCGTCAGGCCCAAACTAACCTAACGTTAATTTCTATCCTTTAGTTCTTCCCGCCTTCTCCATGTTCTTAGCGCAACTGCAAACCCTTGGTAGAGAAGAGGAAGATGAAACATGAGTATCCTAAATCACTGTACTGAGAAACAACAGAGGTACGTACATGGCAAATTAGTTGATAAGGCTATGTCTTTACCTGATTATTATATGTAGAAATCAAATATTCAGATTTGTGTCCAAATCAATTTTCTTTGAGGAAATAGCTATGTGCCTGAATTTACTCTTGCTTTTCTAGTTTTTGAAACTTCTAAATTGTAAAACTATGTCATCCCTATTTCCCTGGAATAGGTTTCTTTCTTGATTATTTTTTCAAATATATAATTCTTTAGATCAATTGTTTTCTTTATGAAACTGCTACGTGAAAATAAAAGTGAAGTGTTGGGCTTGGTTAGCATCGGTGATCGAGATCCAGATGCACCAAAGATAAATAACAGAAGTTGCACATAAAAAATGTTTTTTTGTATGCATATGCACTACCTTTAAAACCTTCAATATAGATGTGTATGGATGACCTATACTATATGTTGATTTCTGTGAATTAATTTGTTGCAATGTTTTTGACTTTTTAGGATAGACTGAAATACTATTTTTAGTATGGATTGTGAACTCCTTGTTGGTGAAGGAGGAGACCTTATTCCCTTAGAATGGGAAGAATTTGATAACCTTCTAGACTTGGGCACTAGAGAATCAGAAGATATATATACTAGGCCAAGAGGCTAAAGGTCAAATTCCAGCAGCAGTAGGAAGAGATGGTAATGATCAGATGTACCCTATTGCTTGGGCAGTGGTTGGGAAAGAAAACAAGGACAACTGGAAATGGTTTATATTCTGGCTTGCTCAAGAACTTCATTTAGGTGATGGGTCCAAGATCACCCTCATATCTGACATGCAAAAGGTATTTTGGCAGTTTCATATTTTAACTTAAAATAATATAATACTAATCTTAATAAATTTTGCAGGGTCTAATTGATGCAGTCAAAATTGTGTTACCTATTGATGAGCATAGATTCTGTGCAAGACATATTTTGGCCAATTGGGGTAAGAGGTGGCATGGGGAAGAACTGAAAAAAAGATTTTGGATTTGTGCTTGGTCAACATTTGAAGAGGAATTTAAGGATAATTTATCCAAACTTGGTGAGGTAAATATGATTAATTTCTGGTTTTGTGTTGAATTGATAATGTGCCCTGGAGTAAATTGTAACTATTTAAGTGAACTTTTAAGGTTTGCAAGAGTGCTGCTGAGGACTTGATGAGGTATAATCCTCAATATTGGTGCAGGGCATATTTCAGTGCTAGGTGCAAGTCCTTTATTGTTGATAACAACCCAACTGAAAGCTTCAATTCCTGGATTATAGATGTTAGGCACAAACCTATAGTTTCTATGTTAGAAGATATTAGAGTGTTATGTATGACAAGAATTAAGGACAATAAAGATGCTATAAAAAAATTGGTTCAATGATTGGTCCCCAAGCGCAATGCAAATGTTGGCCGATAACAAAGAGGTGGGAAGTGGTTGCAGGGTTATATTTAATGGAGAAGAAGGGTATGAGATAGGAGAGGGGGATGATAAGCACATTCTCAAACTTGATAGGCAGCAGTGCTCTTGCAAATCTTGGGAATTAAACGGCATCCCTTGTCCGCATGCCTGTTGTGCCATGTTTCATAGCAAGCTGGACCCCTTGAATGTATTAGAGAAGTTGTATCACAAACATACCTATCTTAAATCCTATGAATTCCCACTATAACCAGTTCCAGGGAAAAAGTTCATGCGATGTGAAGAATTCTTTCCAATTCTCCCTCCATCGTTTACTAAATTGCCTAGAAGACCTCGGAAGAAAAGAATGAGGGGGAAAAGTGAGCCACTAGGAACTTCTTCAACAAAAATGACCACAAAAGGAAAAAAGCTAACTTGTAGTTTGTTTTCTGGTGCTGGTCATAATAATAGGACTTGTCCAAATAAAAATCAGGTATACCTCATGTATATATATATGTATACAAGGGGCATATTATATATCAACTATTAAATAAAGTGTTTCTATTTTAGAGGATCAAACCCGTCCACGTTCTTCTACAGCAGATGTTGCTGCTCCTACACCTATTTCAGTTCCTACTCGATCAGTTAGACCTTTCAATTCTTCAACTCAAACCACTGGATTTGGAGTATTTATAGATCTCAACACTGGAATGCAAACATTCAATGTAATAATCTTTCAAATCCCTTACTAATATATGCTTATGAGCTATTAACCACATTTTATTCATTTATGCAGCCAGGTATATCAAGCAAAATTGTCATATCACGAGGTACACCCCTATTGCAGACAATAGTATGTGATGATCCTAATGTGGTGACAAGGTTTCCACTCCCTAATGAAAAGGCTTTGAGGAAGAAAAAATCCAAACAACCAACTGGGGTGCAATTAAGAGAAATTCAGCTTTGCGGAAATGGTGCCGATGTTAGGGCACCTTCCCAATTACCATTTCAGGTTCCAGGAATGCAATTTAGGGGAAAACCTGTAGTAATTAAAAAGCATTTACAACAACAAAGAGACAAGAAAGCTGCACAGTTGATGAATACTCCTAAGATCTAGATTGAGTAGTTCAGAGTTGAAGTACTATGTAATCTTATTTTGCATACTGGATCAAAACTCCTCTTGGCCATTGTTTTTGCTATGCTTTTTTTATTAGGGTCCAATTGCTATGCCATCAACTTAGTATATTGAAGTTATTGAAGTTATTGTATTCTTATTTTACATACTGGATGAAACAGAAAACTCATTTTGGCCATTGTTTATGCTATAGTTTTTTTTGTTAGGGTCCAGTTGTTATGCCATCAACTTAGTATATTGACATTATTGTATTCATTTGCTGCTACTTTCATCCTTTTCTCTTCAAAATATGTATTTAATATTGATTTTGTATGAATGGTGAGTTGGTGATATCATTGGTGAAGTTTATGATGTTGTATTAGGTGTGTAGGATATATTGAAGCTATTTTTATTGTTACCCCAGGTGGCTGCTATATTTTTATTGACATAATGTGTTTACATTTCACCTACACAATATAAAGCTATTAGATGCTAAAGGTTTTGTTTGAAAAAATAATGGCAGATTTAATGGCCCTTACTTTCACTTACACAATACAAAGTAAAGCCTTTTACTTTCTTATTTGAGCTTTAATGCCTTGTTGTGGGTCACTCCAGGTCACTCCACTTGGTGTATTAGTAAATATAACTATTAATATATAGAAACTAGAGCAGGTTTAGTTTTAACAGCAATAGTATATTGCAAGTCTGATTTTGCCTTTTGACAATAGCTTAATATGTGTTATGTTAGCTCATATCTGCAGTGGAATTATCAACAGCATGTACTGATCAATCTAAACAACATGGTCTGAAATTATACAATATTATAGTAGTGGAGTCACAATAGATAATAATACAACTACAAATTCATTATAATTACTAACAAGTACTTTAACAATACATCCAAGAACATCTTTGAACATCTCACAATTTCATTACAAGGACAACTATCATTACTAGCCAACTAATCATGGCAAAAATGTATGCCATCTTTTTTTGCTTCTCTAGTCTGGTTTTTTCAGCCAATGAAGCTCCCTCTTGAGTAGCATTTTTCTTCAAACTTTTTAATTCACTCCACAATTATTGTATTTCTTGTTCTACCAATGTATCTGGCATTTTGACTCTCAATAAGTTCAACCTCTTTTTCTCCATTTCTAGCATTTTTCTTTCTAACTCCATCTTGTTTATCAAATCCTTAGCCCAAACCGGTAAAGCCTCGTCATGCCATTCAAAATATCCACATCCACTCTCCTGCAAATTTAATATTTATTCACTATTCTGTTGAAATTATATACACACAAAAATACACTAACAAAAAGTCAACCACAATTATTCCAGGAAAGTAATCTCATACAAACAAAAAAAAATTCATACCCTATAGTTTGTTCAACCGTAAAAACAACGTCGAGGATTATTTTGAGTCTCCGATTTGAATCTTGGAGCTGTTTGGCCACAAAAACATTTTTTGCGCTGTCCTTCATAGTTGAGCTCGAAATTGATACGGTCTACAGACCTTGTTGACAGATTTGAGGAGGAATTAGACATTAAGAATTACTAATAATAGAAGGGAGAAGCTCTATCTAAGGGTCCTGGTCTGCTTTACGATGGTAAAAAATGGTGAAATAGATAAGGTTGCTTCTGTGGTGCTAACATGGAGAAGACAAGTAACGTTAGGTTACCTGGATCTAACGGAGAAGTATTAAAACGTTAGGGAGGATATATTTGTACCCTATTTTTAATTTTATCAGCTTTTTGTTCCAATTTTTTTAACAAGGGTATATATGTTCCCAGCCCTATAGTGCAGGGGTATATACGTTCCTTTTCCCATTGTCTAAACCATGACTTTTTTTCATATAAACATTTGAACATGAGAAGCATTAACGGTTAAGTAATTTCACATATGTTTTGTATTTGTCACTATGGTAATTTGGAACAGTGGTTTAAAATGATGATTTTAGGGTTTCTTTGTAACAGTTTAAAAAAACATTTCTCAACTTTTGACTTAAAAAACACTTATCTTACCAAACACTACCAATTTTTACTTTTCTCAACTTTCGTGTGAAAAGTGTTTTTTATTTTTTCTATTACACAAAAAGCACTTATTTTACCAAACACTACCAATTTTTACTTTTCAAAATCACTTTTTCCTCAAACACTATCAACTTTTACTACTAATCATTTTTTTCCAAAATCACTCCAAAAGTGTTTTTTTAAGCAGAAACTGTTGCAAACACTCCCTTAAAAGCTTTGTCTCGCATAGAAAAGACATGATAATTGATGACTCACAGTAAAATATTAATATTCACAAAAGTTATTTGAAACGGGACTCTTTTAATCTTTTATAATTGGGATGGCGGGGATACTAGCTAGTTACACACTTACACTACATAACTGGCATAACCTATGTGAAAAAATATACAGAGTACTAGTTAAAATCATCAAAAAATGATAATGTGTCGCCAATTGTCGTATTTGTTTCAAATTTATTTTTGAATTAATATTTATAAATTTTTATGTATACAATATTATTGACTATTATATATTTAAAAATACATTCTTATGCTAGATCAAGAAAGTACTTTTATTATGTTGTGCTAAGCAAGTAGAAATATCGAGTCACATTGTAGCCCCATTATCCAAATTATTTTTATACTCTTTTTTATATACTCCCTCCGTCCCATTTATATTGTCCCGTTTTACCTTTTCGGGAAGTCCCACTTAAATTGTCTTATACCATATTTGGCAAAGTTTGTGTGACTCTAAATCATTCTTACTTTATTCTTACTTTATCAATTAACATCAATCACACGAACCCACTTTTCTTAATAACCGTGCCACCCTCTTCCGTCCCAATATAAATGGGACAGAGGTAGTATTAATTTAGTGTAACATGGAACACATCTTCTCGGAAGAATGTAGTTTGACTTAATTAAGAGCTAGATAGTATTCATGTGGATAACATCTATTTTTTAATTGTTATCTCACATATTAGTTTAAAAGGTGCATTGTATGAAAACTAATATCGCTAGAATGAATGAAAACCGTGATGCACATAAAATATCATTGATATGATTCAGCAGAAAATATACATTTAGGGAGTGTTTGTAATTGCTTCTACTTAAAAAAATGATTTTTTAAAGTGATATTGGAGAAAGTACTTAATAGTAAAAGTTGGTAGTGTTTGAGAAAGAATCTTCTATTATATAAAAGCAAAATCTTTTTGGTACTGTTTTTTCAACAGTGTTCCCGCCCATAGTCCCAAGGAAAGTAAGTGTATAGCCAGAAATTACATAAATAGCCCTGCGAAGGGCAATTTCTGAAGGGTAACATTGCACAACATGAATTAATGATGGAATTGGAATAATGCAGCCGTAAATTACAGATCTACAGTAGAAAGTAGAATGGTTTAATCATCTACAGTATACAATTAAATACGGAGTAGTAGAAAAAGTAAATTGTAATGGAACTTTCTGCATCCAAGCCTTTGGTACGGAGTAGTATAAAAGCAATATGGAAGGATCAAATCCAGCCAGCCTGTCTTGAGCATGCATACACACATCTCCATAAAAAGGGATTATTAAATCTGAAAAAATAGAAAAAATATCAGCTCATAAATTCAGCCATCCTGTCCCCTTGGGATGTGTGAACCTTCTTTAGGAAGGATTGTCCATTTTTTCCTATAAATACCACAAACCTCATTGCAAAACAACACCAAACCTTTTAGCTCTCTTTCATTTGATGTTCTGAGTTTGTGAGCAAAATAATACGGAGTAAGCCGTATATATGTGTGTGTTCATGTGTGAGTTCGTGTGTGTACTATAAATTCAATAGAAGCTTTTCTTTTGTTGATGAGAAGTGGAATACAAGTCAAGAGGTATAAGCAAATTCAAAACTTCCTACAGAGTATTGACTGTAGGCACCTATACAGCAATGATCTCTCCATAGCCAATCCCTAATGAAAATTTGTAGTTCATGCAAAACTAAATCGAAGGCATTTTTGTATGCATTTATTCAATGAAGGGATTTTATTTCAGCTGCATAGACACAACCAAAATTTTGATGAAGATTACCAAAATTATACGAAAAACAGAGTATTTTGTGCTTGGTTTTATATATGCATCTACGTTTTGTTATTCATATATAGAGACACAATTGATTGGCTCATACAGTTCATATTTTAAAAATATTAAAGCTTGGCTTGGTTGAGAAAAGGGTTTGAAGTAAATGTTACTCCAATTTTTATCACATTGCAGTTTAGATGTTACATTTTAGGTAAACAACCATTAGCACAACAGTGCATATGGTGGACAGGTTCTTGGTCATATAAGAATGGGAATATTTTGAAAAGCAAAAACGATATTAGGGACTTCTGGTAATCAACTGTAGGTAAGAGATCAGTATAGTTTAGCCAATTTTAGCACATCGTTGATTTACTTTAGTGCATAGAACTCGGTATTGTAGATTGAAAAATAATAGGCTTTACCCAAAACTCTGCATTCATTGTAACTGACCCATTCGTTTTTAGAATTAATGGTTAAAAACCATATAAGGTTCAAGTGTGAACACCTGCAGAAAAGATCAAACATGAGATCTTTGTAAAACTGTATTTATATACTTCTATTTTACTACTTAAATGTATATTTTCTGTATTAAATTAGATAGCGTTGCTCATACTTCAAATATTGTGTGCTTGAGTATTTGTTAACATGAAGCAATTCCATGTTAGAGGGAAATGCCACATTCATATCAGTTTGGAAAATGTGCTTATAAAAGACTTGAATCATAGAAATAAATCTTATATTATAGACGAAAAGATTTGAATCATAGAAACTTTCATAATATTTTGATTGTAAAGGCCTCAGGTTGATAGCTTGATTGATTTCATTAGTTGATGTTATTATGTGTAAAACAGAGGAAGAGTTTACCTGACCAATAGGCAGCATTCCAATCATTTTTGGATTAAATGGTACAACACTATGAATATCATGTTTGGCCACCTACAAAAGAACCATAGATAAGGACAAACTGAACCAAATCTATTGGTGAACTTATGCAAGGGTCACCCTATTACAAGTTAAGGTAGATTGCCTATATAGATACTAAATTAGCAAAATATGGTCTAAGAAGATAAAAGTCATAGAACATACTATGACCTGCGTTCTTAAATAAGTGCAACATTTGAAATTTGACACTATTAACATGTTCTAATTTGACTACAATTTATTTATTGATGTATTAATATATTTTTTTGAAAAATATATTATTAAATTTGTCTCATTGTAAATT